CTTGGGTGCTGTATCCGACCTGGACACAGGACGGTCAGTCCAGAGTCCACGGCACATCTGGCCTTGCTTGGTTTCTCTTTGTTGACGACATCTCCACTCTGCCACACGGCTCATTAGGTGCCTCCCCGGCCCTCACAGCAGCACACAATTACAAATCAAGTGCTGCAGTAGTAATAAAACCAGGCCACAGTTCTGAATGCCAGTCGTGCTGCCTCGCGGTGCTCCACAGACATCCCCAGGGCCTGGTGGGACAGACCTGGCTCCACTGCTGGACCTCCTAAAATCCTAACTATAAATACACATTGATGGGGTCTGAACTGGCAGAGACTGAGCAAGAGAGAGATCTTGGAGTTGTAGTGGATAACTCACTGAAAATGTCGAGACAGTGTGTGACTGCAATAAAGAAGGCCAATGCTATGCTGGGGATTATTAGGAAGGGTATTGAAAACAGATCAGCCAATATCATAATGCCCCTATATAAATCAATGGTGCAACCTCATTTGGAATACTGTGTGCAGTTCTGGTCACCAGACCTCAAAAAGGATATTATAGCTTTGGGAAAAGTGCAGAAAAGGGCAACTCGAATGATAAAAGGGTTGGAACACTTTCCCTATGCGGAAAGGTTAAGGCGCTTGGGACTCTTTAGCTTGGAGAAACGACGACTGAGGGGTGACATGATCGAGGTTTAGGGTTCTCTGTCCCTGGTTCTGAAACGTACCCTACTAGGTGTTGAAACAGAGCGGGCAATCCCATGCTTAGTCAGTTGCAAACTGTTCTAAAGGGGTCCCTGCAAGCAGCCAGGCCTGGCCACGTGGTCAAGATGGCCACTGGCCTCTGCTGTCTGGAGCTCAGCAGTCTGTCCACTTCCAAGGGCCAGTATCCGGAGCCCCTCCCTCCCGGGAGCAAAAGCACTTTCATTCAACCTCTGACTCCACCCACTCTACATCACTCTCTCTGCCCCCTTTGACCTGGTCTGCCCAGGTCACACAGGTATACCCTGGGCCACCCAGGTGCATCCCGGGAGCCCTTGCAAGCGTTCTGGGAAATCTCCAGGTGTCCCCTGGAGAGTCCTAGCACCAAATCCCTCCTTTCCTTTGCAAGCCGAGCCATTTGCAGAACCATGGCTGGTCACTGACCTTGCTTCCTGCCCTTCCAGAGAGCAGAGACAAAAAAATGACACTTTTGAGACTCCCGAGTGGGGGTGGGGGAAAGCCATTCTGTCCCCGGAGGCATCACTGGATCTTGTGGCGATGGATTCTGTGCGTTAATTAATGATGGTGCAAGGGGCTCGCCGAGCGGTGCTTCGTTTTGCCTGTCCTTCATTTGCTGCCCATCCGTTTCACCGAGGAGCACTTTGTAGCAGAAGAGAGAGGTTTTCTGCCTGATGTTCAGCCCCTCTGGGAATAGATCCCTTTGTTGGCTGTTGCCCCCCCCCCCCCCCTGAGTGGCGGGTTTCAGGGTGCTGCCCAGGAGCATGCTTCCAGCTTCTGAAAAAGCCAGACGTTTATGTCGGAAGTGTGTGTGTGCCGGCCAGTGTGTCGACTGGGACTTTCCCCAGTGAGCGGATGCCCTCCTCCCTTCCTGCGCCAGCCTGGCCCAGTGGCCGAAGGGCAGGGTGGCACCCAGCTGGCTGGGTGGGCTGTCCCGTTTCCAGGGGGCCCTTTTGCCCTCCCGGTCTGCCCCTGACGCCAGCTTTCCAGAGACCTGCTTAAGCTGGTTAATGGCTTGGGGTTTTTAAAAGAAGTAATTTAACCTAAAAATAACAGTACAGAATCCTGCACACACACGCGCACACACACACACCAACAGAAATCTCGGCACCAGTCATGAAAAGGCCATTGGGTAGGATACACGCCATAAAAACACAGGGGAGGAAGAGGAGGATGAGCGTCCAGCTAAAGTCCTCGGTCAGCAAGGGTCTGTCCGGCTGTTACTGGGACAGGGAGCGGCAGGGATTCTCTCAAAGGCCCTCTTTAAATTTCACCGCTGTTTTGAGTTTCATTTCCCCCCAACAGTGTTAAAGTGCAGCGGGTGTATCTCTGAGGTGCGTGTGGCACCTGGGCTGGGAGGAGTCTGCCCTGCGGCCCACAGTCGTGCCCGGTGGGGATGTGCCCGTCTGAAAGAGCCAAGTCCCGACCTCTCGGAGGGGCCCCGGGGTGCTGCGACCCCCCGCGCAAAGGTGGGGGTGCCGGCTGGGTCACTTGCTGACGTGTTTCTTGGGTCTCAGATATCTCCAAAAACGTGATTGACCCCCTGGAGGAGGAGGAGGCGCTGAAGGAGGAGCTGCTGCACCAGAAGCACCGGGAGCTGAAGGAGAAGATGCAGAGCATCAACCAGGGCTTCGAGCGGCTGCGCAGAGTCAGCCACCAGGGCTACGATGCCTCCAGCGGTGCGTGTGGCTCTCCTCTACCGGGTGCCTCGCCTGGGTCGGCAGCTTTCCTCTTGGTGTGGCCATGTGAGGAGTCGTGGGCCTCGGTGCCGCCGGGCGTGGTGGAGGGAGCGAAGGTGTCCAGGTCCCAGGGGCCGTGGGCCTCGTCTGGGGCTTCTTGGTTGTCTTCTGCGGAGAACGTGGCCAGTTGGTGGCACGCCAGGGGTGCAGGCAGGGAAGGGGCGCAGTCACCCCGCAACAGGGGATGCCCTTTTCTGACCCTGGGAGCCTTCCAAGGAGGACCAGGGAGTGGGCGCTGGCTGGGAGGCCCCCCCGGGGGCCGGAGCTCACGCAGAGAGAGGGGAAAGGGCGTCTTCCGTTAACTTTGGGCAGCTTCTGGCAGGGAGGCAGGCAGGTCCGGTGTGGCTGACTTCCCCCAGCATTCACGGTGCTGTGGTGTTTGATACGTGGACAGAGGGGGCCATTTCAGAGCTGTTGCTCTGGCTCCCTCCCCCCCCCCTTTTAGGGAGGCAGCCAGCTTTTGCTCTGGTCGCAAAAGAGCAGAGGTCCCTCAGTGGCTGTTAGCCACGAGGTATAGAGAGGAGCTCTCAGGCTGGGGCAAGGGGTGCTCTGTCTTCTTGGCGCTTGGAGGGAGGGGGCAACAGTGGGAGGGCTTCTAGTGTCCTGGCCCCACTGCCGGATCTCCGGATGGCCCCTGGAGTTTTTTGGCCCCTGTGTGACACAGAGTGTTGGACTGGAGGGATCACTGGCCTGATCCAACGTTGCCTTCTCTTCTGTTCTTAAAATGCATGGTCATGCAGCAGACCAAATAATGTGAATCACTTTTCAGCTGAGACCTGCTGCGGGAACCCCTCTCTGGAGGCTGATTAGCCCCCCCGCCCCCCAACCCCCCCACACCCACTTGGCTGGCTTGCCGGTGCGTGGTGGACATGCTCCCCCCCCCCCCCATGCTTTCTGGAGCCTCTCCAGCTCAACGGCTTTACCTGCTGCTGTGTCTCTCAGCAGCCGTTTGCTGTCTTGTTGGGTCCCTGTCCTGAAGCATCCGTCGAGGACATGTTTGGGGGGTTGTTTCTTCCCAGCTGTCCTCGCAAGTGCCCTTGAAAGATGTGGGAGTGGAAAGGCAAGGCATGAACTTCCGGAGTAAACAATGAGCCCTGTTAGTGGTGCAGGGGTCAGTGTCAGCCTGGGACCTGGGAGACTCCGGGTTCGAATCCCCGCCCGGCTCACTGTGTGACTTTGGGACAGTCACAACCTTTTCAGTCTGGCCTGCCTCACAGGGTTAGTTGTGGGGATAAAATGGAGGCGAGGAGAAGGGTGGGAAGCCACTTGGGGGTCGCTATTGGGGAGAAAGACGGGGCATGAATGTAGCCAGTAAATGGATGTTTGCTTTTTGTTCCTCCAGAATTCGAGGAGCCCAGAGTGACTGACCTGTGGGATATGGCAAAACTGGGCAATTTTACGGAGCAGGAACTGGAATCGCTTCGGGTGAGCTGGACGGAATCGGCAAAGAGGGGGAGGGGGGTGGGGGGAGGAGGGGAATTCCATTCTTTCTCCCCCCACCCCACCCCACCCCACCAAGTGAAGACGGTCCTTCCTTCCCTGGGTCAGGGAGGCCTCACCAGCTTCCCTTTGCTGCTGCTGCTGGGACGTGGGCTCTTTGGCCTGGGATTGGCCTCTGCTCAGGACATGGTGGCACCTTCACCCCACCCCCCAGGCCTGAAGAGCCTCCTCTTCAACAGCTGTGCAGCAGCAGCAGCATCCCCCCGCAGGGAGGGAGTCCCTCTCGCTCTGTGGGCTGCTTGGGTGTCCCAGCACGTGGGAGTGGCTGGGTGGCCTCGGGGGGGGGGGAGGCGGCTTGAGGAACGTCGTGCAGAGGCCAGGAGGGGAAGGGCAGCCTTGGCAGGAGGTGGCGGTTTGGCCCTGAAGCGGGTCTCGATCCTCCCCCCGCCTTCCAGGAGGAGCTGAAGCACTTTGAGGCCAAAGTGGAAAAGCACCATCACTACCAGAAGCAGCTGGAGCTCTCCCACGAGAAGCTGAAGCACGTGGAAGGGACCGGCGAGAAGGAGCAGCTGAGCAGGAGCCAGGAGAAGTACGCCGTCCTGGAAGAGAAGACCAAGGAGCTGGGGTACAAGGTCAGTGGGAGGCTCTGCTGCGAGTGGCCCGTTCCCCTTGGGCAAGGGGGGCCTTTGGGGGGGGCCTTGGGGGGGGTTGTCTGGGAACATGCAGGGGGGAGGGGGGCAAGTGCCCCGGTCCCAAGGGGGCAGCATTCCACCCTCCGGAGAGTTGCTCGCCAGGCAGAGACCTCACAGCGCCTCTGACAGCCCCTCTGCTCCGCGTTCGGCCCAAACCAGGACGTGCCTCATGCAGTATCCCTCAGTCCCGTCAGGGAGCTGGACGTCGGGAGACAAATAGGCGGCAGCTCTTGCTTCTTCGGTTTTCCTTGTGTGGATTCTGACAAAGTGGGAGGCTGGCTGTCTCTGAGACTCTTGGAGTCCAGGCATGTACACGCACACACACACACACCCCTACCCCAGCCAGGACCAGGCGCAGTCTGGGAGGCAGCCTAAAGCGGACTGGTGCGAGGTTTTTCCTCCTGCTCTTCAAAGGAGCCTGTAAAATGCCAGGAGGGAGTTTTATGCTCCAGAGTCAGGTTCATAAGAACATCAGAGAAGCCAGTGTTGGATCAGGCCAGTGGCCCCTCCAGTCCAACACTCTGTGTCACACAGGGTCCCATCAGGAGGTCCAGCAGTGGGGCCAGGGGTCACGTGGCCTTTTCTCTTGCTCAGGTCAAGAAGCACCTGCAGGATTTGTCCGGCCGAATCTCCCGAGGGCTTCAGCACAACGAGCTCTGAGACGCTTTGCCGAGGTTCTCACGGCTCCTGCCTGCCTGCCTGCCTGCACCGGGGCAGGGGGGGGGGGGCAAACAGCGGGGCTGGATCCATGGGCTGCGTGGAACGGCTGGAAGTCCTGAGGCCACACCTGGCTGTGCTGGGGGAGGGTGTTCTCCCCCCCCCAAAAAAATAATAATCATGTATTTTAATCACATTCTTGATTAATGTGACAACGGTCCACCTTGTATGTAACAGTTTTTCCAACATGTTATGTTGTCTAATGTCTGCATCCAACGCAAGCCTTTGAAACGGAGAGGCTCTTCAGAGAGAGAGAGAGAGAGAGAGAGAGAGAGGGCCACGGGGGGGAGGGGGGCTCAGTAATTAGACACCATGTTTGTTGTGTGTGGGGGGGGGGCAGGGGTTTTTTTAAATTGCTCGTCTGCTGTCTTGTTTCATCCTTTTGATTGGGAGTGGACCACACAGTCCGTGTTTAGCCCAGGTCAAGAGCCGGGAGCACGCCGGACCGAGTCTCCAAAGACCTTTCGGAAGCTGGGTGGGTTCCGCTCTGTGATCCAGACGTGGCTCCTCCTCCCTCGGGTCTCTGCGGCTTCTTGCCCTCCAGCTTCATAGCAGGTGTGGCCTCCCGCTTTCGTCTGGCTCCTGAGGGGGGGGGGCAATCCGTCAGGCAGAGTTGCAGCTCGCTGGGTGACAGATGGGTCCT